GTGCATTCTGACCATATTCTGTACATCCTTAGATAATTAGTATGTTACTTTCTTAGAGTCGAACATCATAGTCTCAACTAATGATAGGGCAATAAGGTGAAATGTATGTTTGCAGGTTTCCTTCATTATTCTTATAAGAATTATTATTATTATTATTATTATTTAAAGTTTTAAGCAAGTTTTGACTACATGCAATGTGTATCAAATGGAAGGGTTTGATATCGGAGGAAAAAAATATTGCTACAGATCATCTTGGTGCTCATACAATACAAGGTTAACATTACACTGGTACCGATACTATGGGAGAAAATAATGAAATTAAACATAAAATGTTCAAGTTGTAGAAGCTAATTTTTTGGTTATCTTTTTGCTTTTTTTGTGTGTGGAATTTTCATTTTCTGTGAAGCAGAGAGAATTGGAGCTTTTGTCATTCTTCATATAGTCTCTATTTTAGAAATTGTGCCCCAATTCTGTTTCAGAATTGCAAACGTTTATTTATTGAATTTTTACTGAAATTAAACTGTGTACTTGTCATGGTGGTTGAATTTTTGTTTAACCTCCTGTAAGCCTGAAATAAATCATTCACACAGGGTCCCAGTACATCCAAACTTTTATACATTAAGTTGTTGCACAACCCCACTGGAGTGCTTGCAGATACAGTGTTTTGCTTTAGGGCAGCAGTGCAAGTAACATTTTGTCTGTATCTTATATGACACAACAGAATCTTCACAGAAGAGCTGCTTTAGTCTGTTCCTTTTACACCAGGGGATTGTGTGTTTGAAGAATTTTATCTCGAGACACGGCAATGTAAAGACTGAAACGAGGCTGCTCTGTGCCCGGGATTGAAATGGCTTGGGTGAAGCAGTTCTTAAATTCATATGCACACATACAGCAGAGAACATGTGCGTAAACTGATACGAGAGTTTGTCTATTTCAGATAAAAGCTGTGTTTTTCATAGAAAAGGGGAAATTCAACATAGTCCGAATGAATTGCGTCTTGCTCCTCCTCAGGTTGCTCTTCAGGGTGCCACGGTTAGATAATGTGACCAGTAGACTTACAAAGAAGGCAGATCAGTGCTCGCAGATGAAAAGATACAAGATACTTCTCATTTAATAACAATTCAAGACCTGTTTAAAATATGTGATGTTCCTAATGTAATATGCATGGCATAAATATTGCAAATGTACAATAGGATATGATTTAATAATTGATTATTCCTCCTAAAGTGTATTTTTTAGCTGATGGAGCTAATTATCTCTCATGGAAAATGAGTATTTGTTTTTATCCTGTTTATTAACACAAGACATTCTCTGATTGTTCCTGAAAGTCAATAAAAAGCTTTCACATCTTGCCATGTATCAGGGGAGAGATATGTTTATCAAAAGCACCTTCAACACCCTGAGTAGTTTTTAATTATTATTTTATTTTTCACATGCAACCATTGAAAATTGAACCTTTCAATGTTATTTTTGTCACATGGTTGCTGCTGTATTTTTTTTTTTTTCTCATTTGCTACCATGACACAAGTTTGTACTAAAGACGAGGATTAGACAAATGTATCTCTCTTGATTATGTCTGTACCTAAAACACATCTGAAGGAGATATTGTAGTCGGGATAAGCTAATGGTATCAGTCTTCTTCTTTTTTTTAAACACTCTAGGCCTATTCTGTTGCTTGACTGAAAGTACTGGCTAATTGGGAAACCTAATTACTGACCAGCCAGCTCTCACAATATCAAGTATCAAGTGTGATGGGGTTGGAGCTTTCATATTATCAGTCACACAAAACTCTGCCTCTTCTTTATTATTGCACCATGCAGCTAATTGGTAGAGATGGACAGACATGGCTGTTTCTTGGTAGTGGTAAAAGCTGAAAAACAGTGGCACAACAAAAAGCTTGTATGTTCATTTATTTTGAAGGTCAGACCAGAACCCATTTCTTTCTACTTACATATAAAACTTTCTATGCTAAACAGTGAAACTCCTACGGAAGATATTATGAAGAGGACATTGATGTATGAATCATCAAACTGTCACCTTTTAATTAGTGATTCTATTGTGATAAAACAAAATTATCTCGGATATAGAAACATTTTTAGTTCTTGGTGAAATTCAATATATATTTTTTTCTTTTTAATAATTACTTTGACTACTATGTACAAATCCCTGTTCTCCGAACAACGAGAGCATGAATACAGTGCCATAATAAAAATGAATTTTGAATGTTAGCATAAATTCTCTAGGTTTAAACTTTTCTATAAAACTTTAGATGAGGAGAAGAGAGTAGAGAAATGATTGGGCGTTATTTTAAAGTAGCAAACCTTTTAAACTGCTCAACAGGAAATTCCTTTAAAGACATAGAAACAGGAACTCAATGTTCTGCTAAAGTATATAAAATTGCTTAAAATTGGATGTAGCTGACATGGTGAGCTGACTAACTGATTATACAGATAATAAAAGGAAGTCTGGGCATTTCACTTTACTTTAAATGACTGAACAGACTTTTCCAACATGCTGGTGAGAAAAAAAAAAAAAGTTGACAACATAAATGCACATATTGTTACCACCACTGTGTTGAAGGTTAATCATCTGTCTCTCTTTTAGACATTTTGTATATTAAAAGCAGCATATGTTTTTTAACCAATTGTAGATGATAGACAAACTTACAATAATTGGCTTTTTTATGTCAACCCTCATGTTTAGTACCTATTTGAAACTCTAATTTCTAGTAAACCATTAGAAATGTCAAGGTCTCTCTGAAAAATGTGGCGTTTCTTATAGTGATATCTTAAAAAATGACTAAACAGCCAAACAGAATGTCATTGACGAGGTTCTGCAGTGGCGCCAACAAACAATAACTGTTTTCCTGTGAGATTAGCTTATCATTGAGCAGTGGGCGGCTGCTGGCATTTGATTCTAACAACCTACAAAACATTGCCTTACTCAACCAAGCTGAGCAGACGCCAATTGACTTTTGACTGAGTGAACCTGCTGCTTATTAGATATGATTTGCTGGCTGCCATCACAGAGATTAAAGAAGAGATATATTGTTTGGCCCTGTCTCCTCAAATTTGCCCCAAGCTGAATTAAATAAAGAATTAAACACTGCCTAATTTGCATCACAAAAAATGACATTCAACATATCCTTAACAATCCTGCACATAAACAGTGATTATTGGTGCTGCTTGCTTTTGTTGACACATTTCAGTTCAGGCAAAAATAACAAGTGTTACTCGGCCGCAAGTCCATTAGCAACTGAAAAGTCTTTGTTTTGTCCCACAGATTTATCCTAACACCAAGGACATGCAGTAAAGAAACTTTGACTGAATGATTGCCAGATATAGTGACAATTAAATCATAGATGCTAAGCAAAAAAGCGGATTTGGATTGTGAGAGATGTCCGCTGATGTCCCTTTTGTGCGGCAGTCCCGGTTCTGTTTGCTGAGCTGCTTCAGGCTTAAATGGGCAAACTTTGCCCCCTCTTGTGCTGACTGTAGTAAGCAATTACACTATCAGAGCTACATGTCTGCTATATTTTACTGCTATCTTTTAATTGGAGGAATAGGGAAAGACATTTCTCACCAAGGATGTGCCATACCATTCTTCAGTGTGCAAAAGAGGAGATGAAGAGAATGGCCACCTCTGTAATGTGATTTCACCTGAAGGCCACAACTTTAATAGACTGTGAAAGCTGATCCATTGAGCTTATATTCATCTTTCAGACATGATGCTTCTTTTGTGGCACATTGGCAAAGTTATTCTTTTTTAGATTAGTCATTTATGATCTTATGCCCCTCCTAATAGAAAATGTCATCACATTTCTAGGGAGGACAAATCAGATTAGAGACAGTTTTTTCTTCCTTTGTCCTTCCTTGGATAGAGGGGGATTTCCAACAATTAACCACAAATCATGTTCAATTTGAAATGTTAAATTATGCATATATTTTTAATTGGCTGGTAGAAGGCAGCGGGGATTTCTTCTGAGAATATGTGACGTGAAAGGTGAGGCTATGTTGTGTCTTGCAGGGTGTTGGATGCTTTCCAGAGGTCCTGCAGCCAAACAGGAGCCCCACTACCTGCTGTGTTGCCGTTCCCCTCTACACCTCTTTCAGCCCTCCGTTTTCACCACTTTGCCCCACCGTGTCTCTTGATAGCAGTCACTCTACCCTCAGGGCAATAAGCGGAACACGTAGCGCATGCTCATGCAGCTCATTTTCTCATTCAGTATAAGTAGTCTTAATATAGTTGACCTCTTTACAATGAATTTTTACAGAAAGGACACGATTTTGACCTTAAACACTTATTCTAGAATTATTTTAAAACAAGAGGCCTCTGAATAACTGTTTGGATCTTTATGGGGGGTTTTAAACAGAACTAATTTGTGTAAAACAAAGATGGATTACAGTCATGGTCCTACGTGGATTATGGGAGTAAACAGAGACAATTTATGAGGCACTATCATTTCATGAAGTAAGCAGAGGAGCAGGTTTTCTTCAGCATGACACACTCAGCTTGAATCTATTTCTGGGGAAATATTCACTTTCTAATCACAGTGGAGGTTTCAGTTCATTGAACGCTTTCATATTTGTGTTTAAAAAAGTAGGTATGATCAAATAGATGTGCCTGACAGGACTTACTATAGTATTTTCCCGAAGGCTGTAAAGTGCAAACCAATCGTAGTGTTATAGTGAAAGAGTCTGAGTAACTGTTGTAAAAATAAATGGCAACCTTGAGGTTAAAACATCATTTAAACTAAGAGAGAACATATCGTACCTGCTATAAAATGTTGGCTGGCATTTTACCAGTTGAGCATGTACATGTATTTACTAAGAATGGTTAAGTGACTATAAAAAGTGATACCAGCTGCAATAAAATGGGAAACTATCTGCTTCTTAAAAAATAAAGAAAATTGATTACCTGTTTTTAGACTTTTTAAAAATGGAAATAAGTGTTACTTTCCAAAATTTACCAAAAGTCACTTTGTGTTGTCAGAATTCAGCATGCCCTTGGCCCCGCCCCTGCCTGCCAACTGGCTTACATTGCACCTGACCTTGACGGCTCTCCCCGCAGGTAGAGTGCCCATGGGGAGAACTGTATCAGTTCTTCTAAGTTTGAAGCTACGGTGCTCAACCTGAAAAAGGTGAAATGCTCCCTATGGGTCAGGGGTGAGTCTCTGCCTCAAGCATAGGGTAGGGTGGAGCAGGAGATGGATTGACAGACTGGGGCCTAATCAGTAGTAATGAGGACATCGGTTTGCTATGTCATGGGGAAGAAAAAGCCGAGTTAAAAGGTAAAGCTCTCAATTTACTGTTCTATGTTCCAACATTCACTTGTGGTCATGAAATGTTGATTATGTCCAAAAGGACAAGATCCTAGATACAAGCAACCAAAATAGGATTTCTTCGTAGGGTGGCTGGTCTCAGCCTTAAGTATCAGGTGGGGACCTCCATCATCCAGAGGAGTACAGGCAGAGTAGAGCCATTGCTCGTACGCTTTGAAAGGCATCAGCTAATGTGGTTTGGGCATGCCTTCTTTGGAGTTTTTTTAGACATGTCCAACTGGAAGGAGACACAAGAACATACCCAGAACCCGCTGGAAGGATGATGCATCCTCTCTGGCCTGGGGATGTCTTAAGATCCACTTGGAGGAGTTGGGCACTTATTATAAATATGTCTGAGTTCTGTCTTCATGTATAAACCTGCAGAAATATGAGCATATGTATGGATTAGTGGATATCCACATAAGTATTACACATAACCTTTATGTGTACTCAGAAAAAAAAAATACACCATTGTGTCCACATATGTAAAATCAAAGTATGAATTATCCATTAGACATCCAAATTGTCTTGTAAGTGGAAATAAAAGAAAAAAAATGTTGTCTATTACTATTATTAAGGGTTATGTAAAAAAATAACTTTTCCCATTCACTGTTTCAATTTAGTTCTTGCTGTGTATATATATATACTTTGTATATATGATGATGATGATTATGATATTTTAACCCCTTCCCACACTCTTGCAATATTCTAAACAATGTTTCAAAACTCTAAACACTCTCAAAGAGCACAGCATGTCATGAACTCAGCTCTCTGCCTCCGACTGCACTCTGACACATGCTGCAGGAGGAAGCTTCTCCTGCAAGCTGTGGGCTGCACATAGGTACAGCAGGTGATAAATAATTTAAAATGATTTATTTTAAATAAAAGTCCCATGCCGATCTTGCAGCTCATCCATCAATCAGCCAACTGTGTGTCATGTCCAATCTTACTTTGAAAAATCGCAATAAAGCGAGTCAGCAAAAAATGAACCGCGTAGTAACAAAGAACTACTATATATGTATAAATATATAGAGAGAGTTATATCGGTGTATATATAAACTGTACTTTAGTGACATGATGGTCTATTAAAATACATGCTAATTTTGCTTTTAAATATTCTATCAAAATATACAGTATGTTATCCACTGTAACCTCATTATTCTGGCCCCAGAATATATTTGTTGGCAGCGAGCAAATGCTCGACTGATATTAAATGGCTTTTATGGCTGAAACGAGACATTGTTTGGCTGCTATCTTCTTAGATCAAAATGATATATACTCTTACTGCAATGAACACTGTGTCTACATTGTTAAAATTCCTGATCCAAACCTTTATCAGATTGTTTGGAAGCAGAGTGTGGGTGCTTGTTTGTATCTAGAATATGCTGAGCAGTGATTAATGCTGATGCACAGAGGGAGGCCAAGATAAGGGAAAAAAAATGCCCTGAGCCGCCTCTGAGACCCAGCTAGCCTGCAGCCGCACCCGCGAGGCATCTGTGTGCTCCTTTCCATATTCACCGGGGACTCTAAAACGTGTGACAACTTTATACTTTGTAAGTGCTGCTGCACTGCAATCTTGAGTAACTGATGGTATTCTATAAAAGAAAATGATTCAGTGAGACAACATTGCTTTGTCTGCACGATACTCTAATCATGTCAACTTTCTGGACTCAGTCTTTTGAAAAATGTGTATTATTATTCTGCAATAGGAGTCCCATATTTATGCACTTTTATTTTTTACAGTTTTGTATTTATTTTTAAGCATGAAACCATTTTAGTTCTTAAATATACATCTATTGGTGATCAGTTGATTTGCAGACAGGACTCAATAACAATAAAAGTATGAACATGAATAAAAACGTTGTACACTGTCCAGTTCCGAATATTTTATAGAGATGCATTTTTTAATTTATTTTATAAGTCTGTGGTAGGCTAATGGAAATTACATTAATATGCCAAGTTCCAAGTCTGATTTGAGTGGGGTGACGTCAATTGTGAAAGAGCTGAATAGAAAATATAACCCTTTTAGCACATCTTGTGGCAGTAAGTGGGTATTTGGCTACTTTTTGCATCTTTGGCAGCTATTTTAATTTTTTTTAATCAGTGTTCCTGTATCCCATGCACAAAAGGACTCTCATTAGGCACAGAGCTGATTAAGACTTAAGAGCAACCATTGAGTGTGAGGTGTAGCTGCATTTCAAAATAAGCAATTAAGAGTGCTATTGTGTAAATAAAGATCTTTCAGAAGGTGTCATTGTTGGCTGGTTTGTCAAAACCAGCAGACGATCTTGTATCTGAAAATAAATAAATAAATAAAGTACAAGTGTTCACAGGAAATTCAGTATTTTATTAAGACTAATATTTATGATGCAGCTTATATTTTTCTTTTTTAAATATCATAGGAATTTTTGACCATGCCCTCAAATAATCTTAACTAAAGGGTGCCTTAAAACAGTAAAACATACATAAAAGCTTGGTAGTTCTTGAAGAATGCATGTGGTCCAGAGTTTTACCGTAAAATATTACAATAAGAAGGCATAGTTATACATTTTAGAGTTATAACTTTTTCAGTGAAATATATATATATATATATATATATATATATATATATATATATATATA